CCTCGCCCATTTACCCTCGACATCAGGAGGAGTGGGGGACGATGCCAACCCCAGCCGCAGGCGATGATGAAATTCTTGCTTGCAACTTTCATCACCTAGCTGAGACCAGGCCACTATGGGTTTGAATGGGGTCCTGGATGTACACCCACTACCGGAGTGGAAGAATGGCAGGCGCATCTTACAGATGACTAGTCGATGGTCAGTGGACAGATCAGCTCCACGGTAAGTCCTGGTTTCAAGGACATGGGCCCGCATCAGCTGTTCCATCTGGTCTGGCCCATGCCTTTCAATCACTCCAGCCCAGGTGCCAGCATCCCAAGGGGCCACTTTAGCTAGCACCTGTGACAGGAGGTCATTGAAGGCATCTGACTAATCGGCCTTGCCTGCATCCCCACCACTACCACTCCTTGCCTCTGGTTGATGGGAAGGCGAGCCCAAAATAGCCTGGGGCTTACAACTTCCCACACCTCACCGCCACGCTCCCACGCCCACTTCATTATTTTGTTCCTAAGAGCCATTCCCCGTTGTTTGGCAGTCTCCTACCCCCAGTGGAGGACTCCGCCCCTCATGGTGGCAGGAGCCAGAGCCAGGCCACTGGACCTCCTGACTACCGCAGAGATCCAGGTGGTACCGGTCCAGCTCCCAACAGAGGAGTGGCAGCCTTACCTCCGCAGTGAGTCTTCCACTCGCGGTGGCTTTTTTCCATTTCCTGAAGAACCCTGAGGGTAAGGATTCAGTCTCCTGGCTCCGCAAAATGGGGTTTGGCTAGAAGATGTCATAGACGCCTGTCCCCCCCGGGGCCTCTGGTACAAGCTTAGCTAGATATGTTTTCCATGGTTTTGTAGTAATCAGTTGAAGGGGTTACCAGGCCCTCGCACCGATCCAGAGCCCCCACTTGGCCCCTGCGGTGGCAACAAGCGCCGTGAAGGGGAATAGCCGATTTTGGAATTGGCCTCCCCTCCATGGGATAATTCACATCCATCACTCGAACACATAGACATGAGTTATTCAAAATATCACAGCTGGATCCATGCTTGATCCATCGCTCGAACACATAGGCACCTTTATTCAAAATGTTATAGCCATGCTTGACCCATGCTTGAACCCATACACGCAGGCATTCAAAATATCAAAGGCATGATTGATCTATCCTCGATACATACACGCAGGTACACAAACTATCACAGCTGGATCCGTGCTTGATCCATGCTCGAACACATAGACAGAGGTAACTCAAACTATCACAGCTAGTTCCATGTGTAGTGGGTTCACGGGACACAGAGACGGTGTAGTAGAGGCAGCACTGTTTATTCAACTTGAAGGGGTAACGGCCCCTTCACCCGTATTCACACTGGGACACCCTCTAGGCTTAACAGCCTCACTATTCGACTCCAAGGTCCTCCGCTACAGGCGCTAGAGGAGGCTATCTGACCTGGCCCTGGTCATGGCACAGGTCACGGCACCCGTCCAGACAGACCGACCCTTGAAAGGACTTCGGCTCTGAGGCTCCGGGGCCGCACCACCGGCCTGCGGTGCCCGGTCCTCAGAAGGACAGCGGGTCAGGGTAGTCCCAGGGTCTATCTAGCCGGCCTTCAGTCTTCACTGGTTCTTTGCTCTTGGCTCCCCAACACACTGCCACGAGCTCTCTGGCTCCCCGACTTTTATACCAATTTGCCACCGAGGGGCGGGGCTGTGAGGGATCGAAACATCCCCCCCGCAGCCCCCCCCCCCCCCCCCCCCCCCCCCCCCACCGGGTTGGTGGCTGTAGCGGCGCTATGTAACTGTGTGTTTCCCTCCCACAACACCCTTACACATGCTTGATCCATGTGTAGTGAGTCCAACTGAGTCGCAGACATTGCTTTTAGAGGCAACACATTTATTTGTAATACGTTAACACAACGGGGTAACTGCCCCTTCACCAGGCACAGCCTAGGGGGGTGACCACCCGGCTAACTACTCGATACAGAGGAGTTACTGCTACGATGGGTCGGGTCCCTACTCGGGTCCACGACCACGAGTTTGCCTCGAAGACGTGCGGCTTGCAGTTTGAGATGTGGGGCTTCAGCCAGGTGGACGTGGAGCTTGCAGCTTGAGATGTGGGGCTTCAGGCTGGTGGACGTGGGGCTTGCAGTTTGAGATGTGGGGCTTCAGCAGGTGGACGTGGAGCTTGCAGCTTGAGATGTGGGGCTTCAGCAGGTGGACGTGGAGCTTGCAGCTTGAGATGTGGGGCTTCAGTTGGTGGACGTGGAGCTTGCAGCTTGAGATGTGGGGCTGCAGCTGGTGGACGTGGAGCTTGCAGCTTGAGATGTGGGGCTTCAGCCAGGTGGACGTGGAGCTTGCAGCTTGAGATGTGGGGCTTCAGCAGGTGGACGTGGAGCTTGCAGCTTGAGATGTGGGGCTTCAGCCGGTGGACGTGGAGCTTCCAGCTTGAGATGTGGGGCTTCAGTTGGTGGACGTGGAGCTTGCAGCTTGAGATGTGGGGCTTCAGCTGGTGGACGTGGAGCTTCCAGCTTGAGATGTGGGGCTTCAGCCAGGTGGACGTGGAGCTTGCAGCTTGAGATGTGGGGCTTCACCTGGTGGACGTGGAGCTTGCAGCTTGAGATGTGGGGCTTCAGCAGGTGGACGTGGAGCTTGCAGCTTGAGATGAAGAGCTTCAGCTGGTGGACGTGGCGCTTGCAGTTTGAGATGTGGGGCTTCAGTTGGTGGACGTGGAGCTTGCATCTTGAGATGTAGAGCTTCAGTTGGTGGACGTGGAGCTTGCAGCTTGAGATGTGGGGCTTCAGATGGTGGACGTGGAGCTTGCAGCTTGAGATGTGGGGCTTCACCTGGTGGACGTGGATCTTCAGGTTGTAGAATGCAGCGACCCCGGTCCCTCTCAGGAACCCGCCTTATATCCCCCTACGGCCGGGATCGCTCCGCCCTTGGCCCCGCCCGCCTTCCGGAGCCTTCCAGCTCCCTCTCGAGAGCTCTCCCCGGACACGTGATCACCCCCTAGCCCCCCCACCTGGGGGCCTCCCCGTGGACACTCCGCATCACGTCCCTACGGGGTCAACCGGAGTGCCACGGCCCGGGGCGACCCTGTCCCTGGTGCAGACACTCCCCGCCTCGTGGGAGCTCCCACCACACGCTCCGCGTGGTGCCCGCGCTATCTCAGCGCTATCTCAGGGCTGGTACTACACCCCGCCCACGGGGTGCACGCGATGGCGGTGCATCGCGTGCCCTGGCCCTCTCAGGCCTGGCACCATACAGTGACGTCGTCACTACAACACGCTCGAACACACACACACAGGTACTATCACAGCTCGATCGGTGCTGGAGCATGATTTGGGCAGCGAAGGGGGGTACAGCCGCTGCATCAACCAATCATCGGAGCCAACCCACGGCACCTGCTGGGGCTGTCCCGACACCTCCCCCTCCTGTCAGCCTTCGACAGTTCACGAGGCCTCAAAGTGCACCTGGCCTGGCACAGGCGCCGTGGTGACGTCACCGACGCTTAGTGGCACCACCCCCCCCCCCCCTTGACCACTGAGCTCGTGACGCGGCTATTGGCTAATTAGTGGAGGGGATGCTGGGGGGGGGGGATCTGGGGGAGGGGGGAGTTGTGGGGGAGGGGCGTCACGTGCGTTGCACACGGCCCTACTCCCCCTCCCTTGCCCCTCCCCCCCTATTCCTCCAGACCCCGCCCCCAGCGAGCCACAGACGCATTTATCAGCCAATGAGCAGAGGGGATTGGGGGGGGGCTGGGGGTGGGACGCCTAGTTCTGTGGCGCTGCACACGACCCTGCCCTCCCTCGCCCCACCCCCTTCTACTCCAGACCCCGCCCCCTGCTCAGCCACCGACCAATGAGCAAAGGGGATTGGGGGTGGGAGGGGCTGAGTGTATCGGGCAATTATCTCAGTCAGTGGACCCATGGCCATCTGCTGGGTCTGCCCCGTAGCCTCCTGCCGGCGGGCGTTCCACGCTTCACGTGGCCTCAACGTGCACCTAGCCTGGCACGTGCGCCGTGGTGACGTCACAGACACTTAGTGGCGAATGGCGGTTGTGTAGGGGGGCTTAGTATTTACGTGGCGCTGCACACGGCCCTACTCTCTCTCGCCCCTCCCCCCCTCCACTGCAGACCCCGCCCCCGCTCAGCTACCGGCCAATAAGCAGAGGGTATTGGGGATGGTAGGACCGGGGAGGGCGTAGTCCAGTGGTGCTGCACACGGCCCTACTCTCCCCCCCTTGCCCCTCCCCCCTCCACTCCAGACCCTGCCCATCACTGAGCCACCGCACAATGAGTAGGGGGGATTGAGGGTGTGTGGGGGAGGGGCGCGTATAGCCCCGAGGCGCTGCACACGGCCCTACTCCGCCTCGCCCCTCCCCCGTTTTTTCCGACCCCGCCCTCTTGTTCAGCAACCGACCAATGAGCGAGCGCGAGAGGCGTGGCCTCGGGAATTTTGGCGGGAGTGGGGGGGGAGGGGTCACGGCCAGGTTCCGTTTCCGGGGTCGCTAGGCCCAGGCCTGAGGCCTTCCTGACGGGCCGCTGCCATCTTAAGAACAAAGCTTTTTTTACTTTTCAAATTAACGGTTCCATTTTTGCTGTAAACAATTTTCACCTCAGGTTTATTTTTTTAGGTAATTGTTTTTATTATTAAACTGTTGTTGTAGTCGCTGCTGCGATCCTTACCACCACCATCACTACTACCACACACACGACTACATCCACACGACAATCACCACCCTCACCACCACACTCACCACCACCCTCACCACCCACACCATCACACTCACCACCACCCTCACCACCCACACCACCCTCACCACCACCCTCACCACCCTCACCATCACACTCACCACCACACTACTAACCACCCTCACCACCCACACTACCACCCACACCACCCCCCTCACCACCACCCTCACCACCACCCTCACCACCCCCCTCACCACCACCCTCACCACCCCCCTCACCACCACACTACCACCACCCTCACCACCACACTACCACCACCCTTACCACCACACTACCACCACCCTCATCACGTCGCTGGTTGGGAAGGACAACGAATGAGTCTCTGGTGAGTAGTCTGTCGGTCTCTCTGAGTCTATGAGTCTCTGTGGTGAGTAGTCTGTGGGTCTGTATGTGAGTCTATGAGTCTCTGGTGAGTAGTCTGTGGGTCTCTATGTGAGTCTATGAGACTCTGGTGATTAGTCTGTGGGTCTCTATGTGAGTCTATGAGTCTCTGTGGTGAGTAGTCTGCGGGTCTCTATGTGAGTCTATGAGTCTCTGTGGTGAGTAGTCTGTGGGTCTCTATGTGAGTCTATGAGTCTCTGTGGTGACTAGTCTGTGGGTCTCTATGTGAGTCTATGAGTCTCTGTGGTGAGTAGTCTGTGGGTCTCTATGTGAGTCTGAGTCTCTGGTGAGTCGTCTGCGGGACTCTATGTGAGTCTATGAGTCTCTGTGGTGAGTCGTCAGTGGGTCTCTATGTGAGTCTATGAGTCTATGTGGTGAGTAGTCTGCGGGTCTCTATGTGAGTCTATGAGTCTCTATGGCGAGTAGTCTGTGGGTCTCTATGTGAGTCTATGAGTCTATGTGGTGAGTAGTCTGCGGGTCTCTGTGAGTCTATGAGTCTCTGTGGTGAGTAGTCTGTGGGTCTCTATGTGAGTCTATGAGTCTCTGTGGTGAGTAGTCTGTGGGTCTCTATGTGAGTCTATGAGTCTCTGTGGTGAGACGTTTGCGGGTCTCTTTGTGAGTCAATGAGTCTCTGTGGTGAGTAGTCTGCGGGTCTCTATGTGAGTCTATGAGTCTCTATGGTGAGTACTCTGCGGATCTTTACGTGAGTCTATGAGTCTGTGTGGTGAGTAGTCTGTGGGTCTCTATGTGAGTCTATGAGTCTCTGTGGTGAGATGTTTGCGGGTCTCTTTGTGAGTCAATGAGTCTCTGTGGTGAGTAGTCTGCGGGTCTCTATGTGAGTCTATGAGTCTCTATGGTGAGTACTCTGCGGATCTCTATGTGAGTCTATGAGTCTGTGTGGTGAGTAGTCTGTGGGTCTCTATGTGAGTCTATGAGTCTCTGTGGTGAGTCGTCTGTGGGTCTCTATGTGAGTCTATGAGTCTCTGTGGTGAGTCGTCTGTGGGTCTCTATGTGAGTCTATGAGTCTCTGTGGTGACTAGTCTGTGAGTCTCTATGTGAGTCTATGAGTCTCTGGTGAGTAGTCTGCGGGTTTCTATGTGAGTCTATGAGTCTCTGTGGTGACTAGTCTGTGAGTTTCTATGTGAGTCTATGAGTCTCTGGTGAGTAGTCTGCGGGTCTCTATGTGAGTCTATGAGTCTCTGGTGAGTAGTCTGCGGGTTTCTATGTGAGTATGAGTCTCTGGTGAGTAGTCTGCGGGTTTCTATGTGAGTATGAGTTTCTGGTGAGTCGTCTTTGGGTCTCAATGTGAGTCTATGAGTCCCTGTTGTGAGTAGTCTGTGGGTCTCTATGTGAGTCTATGAGTCTCTGTGGTGAGTCGTCTGTGGGTCTCTATGTGAGTCTATGAGTCTCTGTGGTGACTAGTCTGTGGGTCTCTATGTGAGTCTATGAGTCTCTGTGGTGAGTAGTCTGTGGGTCTCTATGTGAGTCTATGAGGCTCTGTGGTGAGTAGTCTGTGGGTTCTTCGCAAGCCATCTGACTACCATGAGAGATTCGTTCATTAGGCTATCCACATATACAAACAGAGACAATTTCAACCGAGAAGATGGATTCTGGCTTAGCAATCATTGGAAGGATTTGATAAACCATTTCGGGTCTTAATTGATTGTTCACGCTTACGGTGGCTTTCAGACAGCATACATTAATTTTTGGTCTCCCCCCTCCTGTTTTCCGAACATCGTTCATCTAAACAAACTGTCAAATCGCTATCCGTGGTGCTAACGTTTAAAAATAAATAATTACAAACCGCCACTTCTTTCAAATGTTCTTGCCGTTGGTTTTCACACCTGATGATGACTGCTTGTGTTGCAGTCGAAACGCCGTGAGAATTTTATTGTTTTATATATTTTATTAGTTATTGTTTCCCTTCAACGTGACTTTACCGAAAGAACCAAGAATATGAATCACTGCAGTCACGAAAGCTTTAAATAAAAATTTAGTCTGCGGGTCTCTACGTGAGTCTATGAGTCTCTGTGGTGAGTAGTCTGTGGGTCTCTATGTGAGTCTATGAGTCTCTGGTGAGTAGTCTGCGGGTCTCTATGTGAGTCTATGAGTCTCTGTGGTGAGTAGTCTGCGGGTCTCTATGTGAGTCTATGAGTCTCTGGTGAGTAGTCTGCGGGTCTCTATGTGAGTCTATGAGTCTCTGGTGAGTAGTCTGCGGGTCTCTATGTGAGTCTATGAGTCTCTGTGGTGAGTAGTCTGTGGGTCTCTATGTGAGTCTATGAATCTCTGTGGTGAGTAGTCTGTGGGTCTCTACGTGAGTCTATGAGTCTCTGTGGTGAGTAGTCTGCGGGTCTCTATGTGAGTCTATGAGTCTCTATGGTGAGTAGTCTGTGGGTCGCTATGTGAGTCTATGAGTCTATGTGGTGAGTAGTCTGCGGGTCTCTATGTTAGTCTAGAGAGCCATAGACTCATAACACAGCAGAGACCCATAGACTCATCACACAGCAGAGACCCATAGACTCATCACACAGCAGAGACCCATAGACTCATCACACAGCAGAGACCCATAGACTCATCACACAGCAGAGAGCCATAGACTCATCACACAGCAGAGAGCCATAGACTACTCACACAGCAGAGAACCATAGACTACTCACACAGCAGATACCCATAGACTCATCACACAGCAGAGAGCCATAGACTCATCACACAGCAGAGACCCATAGACTCATCACACAGCAGAGACCAATAGCCTCATCACACAGCAGAGAGCCATATACTCATCACACACAGAGACCCATAGACTCATCACACAGCAGAGACCCATAGACTCATCACACAGCAGAGAGCCATAGACTACTCACACACAGAGACCCATAGACTTCTCATACAGCAGAGAGCCATAGACTCATCACACAGCAGAGACCCATAGACTACTCATGCACAGAGACCCATAGACTACTCACACAGCAGAGACCCATAGACTCATCACACAGCAGAGAGCCATAGACTCATCACACAGCAGCGACCCATAGACTCATCACACAGCAGAGACCAATAGCCTCATCACACAGCAGAGAGCCATAGACTCATCACACACAGAGACCCATAGACTCATCACACAGCAGAGACCCATAGACTGCTCACACAGCAGAGACCCATAGACTACTCATACACAGAGACCCATAGACTACTCACACAGCAGAGACCCATAGACTACTCATACACAGAGACCCATAGACTACTCACACAGCAGAGACCAATAGCCTCATCACACAGCAGAGAGCCATAGACTCATCGCACACAGAGACCCATAGACTCATCACACAGCAGAGAGCCCTAGACTCATCACACAGCAGAGACCCGTAGACTCATCACATAGGAGAGACCCATAGACTCACCACAGACAGACCCATAGACTCACCACACAGCAGAGACCCGTAGACTCATCACAGACAGAGACCCATAGACTACTCGCACACAGAGACCCATAGACTTCTCATACAGCAGAGAGCCGTAGACTCATCACACAGCAGAGACCCATAGACTACTCACACAGCAGAGACCCATAGACTACTCGTACACAGAGACCCATAGACTACTCACACAGCAGAGAGCCATAGACTCACCACACAGCAGAGAGCCATAGACTCATCACACAGCAGAGAGCCATAGACTCATCACACAGCAGAAACCCATAGACTCATCACACAGCAGAGACCCATAGACTCTTTGGTTCTATTGGGCAAAGTCACATAGATGAAAATAAAATAACAAAAAATCACGACGTTTCGGCCACAACACAAGCTGCCTTCATCAGGTGAAGGGACGAGACTGTCATCACACAGCAGAGACCCATAGACTCATCACACAGCAGAGACCCATAGACTCATCACACAGCAGAGACTCATAGACTCATCACACAGCAGAGAGCCATAGACTCATCACACAGCAGAGAGCCATAGACTCATCACACAGCAGAGACCCATAGACTCATCACACAGCAGAGACCCATATACTCATCACACAACAGAGAGCCATAGACTCAACACACAGCAGAGACCCATAGACTCATCACACACAGAGACCCATAGACTCATCACACAGCAGAAACCCATAGACTCATCACACAGCAGAGACCCATAGACTCATCACACAGCAGAGACCCATAGACTCATCACAGAAGAGACCCATAGACTCATCACACAGCAGAGAGCCATAGACTCATCACACAGCAGAGACCCATAGACTCATCACACACAGAGACCCATAGACTCATCACACAGCAGAGACCCATAGACTCATCACACAGCAGAGAGCCATAGACTCAACACACAGCAGAGACCCATATACTCATCACACAGCAGAGAGCCATAGACTCACCACACAGCAGAGAGCCATAGACTCATCACACAGCAGAGACCCATAGACTCATAACACAGCAGAGACCCATAGACTCATCACACAGCAGAGACCCATAGACTCATCACACAGCAGAGACCCATAGACTCATCACACTGCAGAAGACCCATAGACTCATCACACAGCAGAGAGCCATAGACTCATCACACAGCAGAGAGCCATAGACTCATCACACAGCAGAGACCCATAAACTCATCACACAGCAGAGAGCCATAGATTCATCACACAGCAGAGACCCATAGACTCATCACACAGCAGAGACCCATAGACTCATCACACAGCAGAGAGCCATAGACTCATCACACAGCAGAGACCCATAGACTCCTCACACAGCAGAGACCCATAGACTCAACACACAGCAGAGACCCATAGACTCATCACACAGCAGAGACCCGTAGACTCATCACACACAGAGACCCATAGACTCATCACACACAGATACCCATAGACTCATCATACAGAGACCCATAGACTCGTCACACAGCAGAGCCATAGACTCATCACACAGCAGAGAGCCATAGA